GCGAGATCACTCAAATTTACTGAACCCGTACAGAGATTAATTACTGAAAATAACAGATTAAATAGTTTTTCTTAAGAAATGTTTGATAACTATCCAGACATAAAGATTTCACGTCTTAAATTTCAAATCTTTCTGATGCATAAAAGTATTCTTAATCTTAAAATAAAAATTACTTTGCTTGATAGATAGACAAGATATGAAAAGAAAAAATAAGGCATGAGAGAAACATTGCTTTATAAACCTTAAGACTTAATAAAAAAAAATTGATATTTTATGTACGAAAGCATTGTAATGTTTACTGATAATCTGCCAAATTTCTTTAACATTTGCTTAGTAATTTAAGGTCAGTCACAGGGACTGAGCTCATGCTTAAAGAGTTAAAACTCCACATAATAAACACTGTAACAAACATTTATACAAACGTTTGACTTGTTTTAATACATTATTTCAAAACAAGTGGACTGTATGCTGTTTGTTTATTGTTGAAATTTATCGTCCAAAAGTCAAATATACCTACTGTAATTTTAATACATAATGTACCTTTTAAATTCTACATTTCTCTGTGTTTTCTTCATTTCTTTTTTTCTTAATTCAAAGATCCATATGCAAGATATTTACTGCAGTATCTAAAAATATCTTAACTTCATTCACAAAACATAAATACATTATACTTCCTTTTCATACATAACCCTTGTTGGCAGCTCGATGCAGTCTGAAAACTTTATTTCACTGTAGGTATAATAAGATTTTTAATAAAAACAAAATTTACTTCTTTTATAATCTAGTCACATAAAAATATATTTGAAATATTTTCTTTAAAAAGAAATGCATGTGTAATCCCTAATTGACCAAACGTTTTGCGAATTCTTCAAAATATATTCTACTTTACAGAAGTTGTTACATGTTGAAACTGAGGTTTGTATTTACCCTCTAAATACAGGTTTTTCTCATTTTGACCAATCATGAAATTATATGTAGTATATCTCTGAATGTATTAAGTGTACCTCCATGAAATTTGGCAAGGTAAATATAAAAAGTCTGTTGTAGAGAAAAATCAGATTGTTTAATAAAGTATTTCTATTAAATGTTTATCTGTGAACTTACAAAACTTTTACTGAGTAAAACTGAGTGCCAGGTGATTTTTATGTTAAGAATATAATTTTTCCTTTTATATTACAGTTTCATATTTCATTTACACAACCACTGGATTCATTTAGTTTTGTTGTTTTACAGCTGCACTTTCACCCTTTCAGAGTATGCTGAAAGCCAGTTATCACAGAAGGACAATGTTTTGTAAACAAAAAATTGCATATAACAAGCATGCCACAATCATATTAGAATCGTGTGTATGTATGATGATCACAAGTATTTTTTTCCATTTAATTTTTCTTATTTAACCTGATAAACTTCAAATTTTTATATCTTATTTAATCTTATAATGATAAGTAAAAAATATTCATAAAAATAATGAAATTGATACTTAATTAGGTCTGGAATCATCTTTTTGACATTGGAAGACAGTGCTGTAAACCTTTTTGTTTTTGTAATGACTTTGGTGTTCCCAAATATGCTTATTTTTTATTTCAAGTATGTAATTTAAAACAAAATATTATCATGCACAAGAGATAGAATATCCTAAAACTACTGTAATTTAACTGGATTTCTAACTAAACTATTAATGAGTTAAAAAAATTCTGTTAGTTAGTCATACTGAACAGGACAATGAAACTGTGGCCAAATATTTCCAAACCTGGCACCTGAATGAACCATACTTGTAAGGAATTTAGTAAAACAGAATATTCTCTTTCTATTGGTTATTAATATTCCAATAGCAAATGTGAGAGTATTACTGACATTTTTTTTTTATAGACAAGATGTGATAGAAGGAGCATATGATATATGTTTGACCTTCTTTTTTATATCTCAGTAAAACAAAGATCTTGGAGGTTACGTCTATACTACAAATGTGTAATTTGTGCCAAGCTCAGGAGATCATATAGGGGTAGAAAGGGTTATATGATACTCTAGCTCCTAATTTATTACATAATGTATTTTACACAATATCCTAATGACACCCGAGTACATGATTTGTTTACCACTTTTTAAAATAAAATGTTACATGAATAACTAACTTCAGTTCTATTTCAGAAACATGTGCAGATGATTCTGTGAATAACAACTTTGTACCTAACAAGTGTTTTAACCAGGACATTTTGTAATTATACATTGTTAAAAACAAACATATGTATTCTTATAAAAATAATTATACATTGTTAAAAACAAACATATGTATTCTTATAAAAATAATTATACATTGTTAAAAACAAACATATGTATTCTTAAAAAAATAATTATACATTGTTAAAAAACAAACATATGT